CGGCATTCTGGCGAATAGCTGTGATGTTTTCTGTTGAACGACCTAAACGAACACTATCGATGTTTTGACATCAATAATCGACTCCGTCTCCTCGAATTTTTCGATTATTCTCTTCACAGTTGATGCACTTGGAATATTTTGTCTACCAAAGATTGGATGCAATTTGCGAATCGGGCATTCAAACTTTTACCATTTTTTAAATAATGTTTAACAATAAGAATGCGTTGTTGTGTCGAATAGCGATCCATTTTTAATAATGGCGGACTGTCTACTATCGAACTGTCATAATGGTTTGACTGTCAAAGCACAGCAGCAGAAATGGAGCCAAATTTAAATTTTCCGCTCTTGTTGGGACACTTTACATAAATCCTTATAACTATGATATTTATGAATATGTCGTGAAAATAAAAATTGTTGTATTCAATTTAATTGTACAATAAAATGTTCTCAAAGTTTCAAAAAGCTTGGTTTAATAATTTCTACATAAGAAATTCCCAAAAATTCGTACAGGTTTAACCCGTTTATAGCAGGCTCCCCTTTTAATAGTGTACACCTCCGTGCCTGCTAATTAACCGAAGAATAATTCAACGTCATTTTTTCCGTTCACAGTTTTGGGCTGCTTACGTACCATGCGAGTCTCAACATCTCAACGCGGTCCAGCTGACTCTGGAGCAGGTGGACCTCATTAAGAGACTCATAGAGAAGTACTCACAACACATGCAGTTCGCTGCATCTTCAAAGGGTGGGTATCTTTCACAATTACCTGAAACGAGGAACCAGCCGTTGCACCGGTCTCGACTGTGCGACACAGAAACCGTTTTTTTCTTTTCCTCCTTTTTTCTCCTTCTACGAACCTTTCTTTTTAATTCCTCTCCGCGCGAAACAACAATACGGGCCGAAAAGCTTCCATTAAGGGGAGGACTTCTTCGGGGCCAACTCCGAATCGATTGAAGCGCCGATGTAAACAATCAAGCGCTAGCGAAAACACATATTCGATAGCAGGGACGGCTTGATGAGACGACATCTAACGGCAGTACCTACAAATAAATTTTGTTCACTAATATTTCCTGCTGCTCAATGATTTTGCATCAGGTTCCTCTGCACGTCTTACTTTTCCAAGAGTTTTCCAACCTAGTGGCTCCCTGACTTTGCGCCGGATTCATCCACGAAACTTGACCTATCCGGCGGCTCCCTGATTTTGCATCAGATTCGTCCGCAAGTTACTTCATTCTTAGAGGCTCCCTGATTTCGCATCAGGTTCGTCCTCACTTTCAAGCATCCTAGCGGCTCTCTGATTTGACACGAGATTCGTCCGCTTGGGACAATATAATGGCTTATTGTAAAAACGAGGAAATATTTGATTCTGAAATCTGGTACACTTTTTCATCAGCATGGAGGCCATATTTTTCTAAAATTTCAAAACTCTATGTTCAAATCTCTCCGAGTATTAAGCAATTGAAAAAACAGTCTATTTCGACAGTTTTAATTCTTTTGCAACTGAACATCTGCACCGATTTTAGCGTACTATATCTAACTTTGTCGGTATTAAGAATACTTGCGTTTTTTGTTTGAACCTTTTTTCTCTAAAATCATTATATTTTCGTCTGCATGCGGAAAACATGTTTATCACACAGTTTCCAAATTTTCTCATACTGTTTCCTAACAATTCACGAGTCTCACACGTATACCTACATTTCATTTCTAATAACCTCTCGAACCATTTCATACAAACAAATAGCTGGTTAGAATTATTTTTTGTTAAAAGTCTAATTCGACTGGACCATTATTTAAGCTGGCAAAAGGTAGTCGAAGTTTACTTTAAAGCCTTCAAATAAAGATACAGATAAAAGATGAAAATTTTATTCGACACTACGGATAAAACGCTCCTTGGATGTAAAAGTATCTTTATTGGTTGAATAAATTCTCATCGAATAAATTTGTTCATTCAATGTTCTTCTTACGTCCTTTTTACGAAATATATACACCCGTATCAATGATGTCAATAAAAGATAAATAAACAATGTTTCTCGGGAATACCATTTCAAATACAGAGGCCTCGCGATTATTGACTCTTTGTTGATATGCGATTATTGTCCAGGCGTCATCCCCACCACTGGAGGGGGGAGGGGGGAAGGCTGTGGAACTCGGCAACCGCATACTTTGTTGCCACGGCGCGCCGAGACGGCTTCCCGTTCACGAGCCGATGACTGAACGTTGGGAGCCCACAAAAAGGTTACAATCGCCGGTGTCGGTGAGGTAATACTAATGCAATGATAAAACTTTTATATTTTTGGGTCTTTATTAATGAAACTTTTATGAATTACTAAATACGACCAAATTTGGGTCATATTTACTTATAATTTATCAGAATCGATAATGAACTAATTTGAACTATTAACACTTTCTACATGAGTAAATATAATCCAAATTATGTCATGTTTGGTATCATTTTAATCAGAAAAATCTCACCAATGTACTAGTAAAAGTTTCATTAACAACGAATAAAAAATAAAATAGTTTCATTGTTGCATTAGCATTGTCTCGCGCGCCGGGCAACAATGTATTTGCTTGATGAACTCGACGGATGGAGCGGGGGAATGTACGACGATTAGTCAAAGCGTTCAATCGTCAGTGACTGTCCAGAGAACTGCCGACGAATAAAATGTAGCAGCATCGCCTCGAATCACACGTATTTTTATTATTGGCCGAAACGGTACACACACAATCGGACTGTGTGGTCGGCTATAATGTAACCATTGGTCGGCGATAGCGTCGCAGGCGGGCCACGTAGCCGAGTCGAGTGGGAAAAAAAGCTTTCTCTCTCTTTTTCACTGGCTTGTCCTTTTCTACGTTCGGAGTATTACAAAGGCGAGTTGCCGAGGCTCGATCTTCGGGCAAAAAACGTATTCACGACGGTCAGAAGCGTATCACGTGGTCCACGATTACAGTCCCTGCACGGACCCGAGTTCGGGACAATAATCCCGAGGCTTCTGCATTTCGTATGTAATTCCATTAATTAAACAAAAATAAGCATTATTGCAATTATAGAAAGGTTTATCGTTGCACACATTAGTACGTATTGTTTAATTCTCGGATCTCTTCCCCTCGCGCCGTTCTTTTCCTACGTTCGGCGAGAATCGAAAGCTCGCCACCAGCCGTAGATATTCCATCGTTCTCCTGATAGGCAGAATTGTAATGAGAGACCTAACCCAGAGCCGTTAGGATGTTTGAAAGCGAGGACGAACCTGAAGCAAAATCAGCGAGTCCCTAGAAATGGAGTTACTTGCGGACGAACCTGATACGAAATCAGGAAGCCGCAGGAAGGTGAAATTCGTGAACGAACCCGATGCGAAATCCGGGAGTCACTAGGATGTGATATTGCAGACGAACAAGGCGCGCAACTGAGGAGCTGCGAGGAGGATGCAAAATCTGCACAGACGAACCTGATGTGAAATCAGGGAACTGTTAGGATGCGGACGAACCTGATGCGAAATTGGAGAGCCACTGGGTTGGAAATACTCTTAGATAAATGTAATGCACGGACGAACCTGATGCGAAATCAGGGAGCCGTTAGGAAATGTTAGTTAGTGCCTCGTAACCTTTGAATTTATAATTAATACAAGTCGAGCGGTAAAGTTGTATTAGTGTGGGAACTATACAAATTTATAAAATAACCGTATAATTAATCAGTCTTTGGTTACAAATGTGTTGTGTAGTGTTGTCGCGTAGTAGTATATAATAAGAAAATAGTAACTGTTACCAAAATAAATATGAGCTCGGTGTTAACGCACTGGCGATGCGAGGGTTGCGAGTGGATTTTATGGAATAATGCCAAAGTAATCATTCCACCCGAAATACAAATAAAATGTTCACGGTTTACTACAAGGTTAACTGGACTGGAAAGGGAACTTTAGCCCGACCTCACTAACGTAATGACCAACTCACAAGAACATGACGCGACGTGACTCTAAAGTCGACGGTACAGTTCTGATCCCCCGAGGGTTAAAATCAACGGGTTTATATAGGCCTAGAAATTGGTGGGGATGCTATGAAATTTCCATATAAGGAAATTTTTTATGGTTGAAGTTGCGTCACGCAGGTTCGTCCGCATTTTAACAGCTCCCTGATTTCGCATCAGGTTCGCCTGTACAGATTTCCCACCCGCCTCGCAGCTCCTCAGCTACGCGATGAGTTCGTCTGCAAAATCACATCCTAGTGTCTCCCCGATTTCGCATCGGGTTCGTTCACGAGTTTCGCTTCCCTGCGGCTCCTCGAGTTCGCATCAGGTTCGTCCGCAAGTGATTCCATTTCTAGACTCCCTGATTTTGCATTAGGTTCGTCCTCGTTTTCAAACATCGTAGCGGTTCTCTGGCTCCGCGTCAGATTCGCCCGCGCACCTTACTAATAAACTGATACCATATTCTTTAGAAAACCTACACTCGCTGGCCTCTCGCGTTGCTATAGCCCGGATTCGTAACAATTCTATAATTTCATTTTGTAATATGTCAATAAAATAAAAGCTTCGAAGATATTAATTTAAGAAGTATTTTTTTAAAAATGGGAGATGTATTTATTCCTTTTTAATATTTAAACATTATATTACACTAATACATATTCTCTTATATACAGGGTGTCCCAAAAATGTCCTCCGACCCGGAAATGGGGCACTCGGGGGGTGAATTGGAACAACTTTTTCCTTAGCAACAATGTAATCTGAAGCTCCGTTACCGAGATATTAACGAAAAACCGCGACCAATCAGAGCGCGAGTTTTCCAGCCGAGTTCCCGCGCTAGCGGTGGCTACGCGCTACGCTTGTACTACGAAGCTCCAAACAAGTAGGTCAGCATGCATCGCAAGGAAACTGTGTATAATAGCAAATAAACAAGACGTAACAAATACAATCATACTTTTTATCATCTGCAGTTTGTTATTTAAAGAGATTAATGATTGAAACGTAAATGTAAGAAAATTATGTATAACGTAAAAAGACGAATGCACATTTACTTTTTTGTAAATTCCTTTTTACAAATTTGTAAATTTCCTTTTCAAATCACGTGTGAACGAAAAGGTAATGTAACAGAGAATGAACGAGAAATGATCGTAATTCGGTATTGGTATAAAAATTCGTAGTTAAATAACGGTCAACAATGTTACTGATAATGAATAAGTTTCTTCAAAAAGCCCGAAGAAAAAGTTAGGTACAGAAACTTGCAGAATTATCGCCGGAAATAAGCCATAGCTTGCGTTAAATTAAGAAAATAATATTGATAACTCGCAGCGTCAACTGACACGTGTCTGTAAATTTTTTTCCCTGCTCCTCGAGATAGGCAATGTACATTGTACTTTCCAACTCGAAGCAAGGGATACGTTGGTGGTCCTCTTCATTTCGGACATTTTTAAGCCGATGCACGTGATGTCTGTTTTCTATCTCGAAGGAGTAGGTGCCTTGGCAATAACTTAACGGGCTACGGCGCCTTGGAGAAACTGCGCGACGGGCCTTTCCTTCCACTTCTGCAAAGCACGTGTTATCCTAGAACCGTTGGTTTCTTTTTACCTAAATCTTGTCGTGGTGAGAGAGAACTCACAATGTAACGATGGGAAACTACTTGGGGGTAGAGGAAGCCCGTGCGGAAAAATTCTGTCAGTCGGTTAGCAATCGGGCGACAGAGATGTTCAGTTCACGGGAGTATTACGCAATGTTATGGTGGTACGTACAGAATAACAGATATGCGGGTGTTGCTG